TCTATCTATCTATCTATCTATCTATCTATCTATCTATCTATCTATCTATCTATCTATCTATCTATCTATCTATCTATCTATCTATCTATCTATCTGAATCAAGATGTGTATTTATGATATAAAATTTAGCAGGTGCAAAGTTATAAATGTTGAGCTCCATCTATCCCACTGTATGCAGTATTCCTTTTTGTATTTATGGCGGTCAATGTCAAAACCTGTGATTGGCTGCCCTTCAGAAACTTTGAGCGTGACTTGACAAAAAGGGAGGAAGGTAACTCGTTTAGCTTTAAACTAAAATGATCGCGCGTTCGAGTACTGCTATCTTTGACTTAGGCTATTTTTCCCAATTAAATACAAACAAAAGACACAAATCTAATTAAAATATAAGCGTGATATTCAAAATAAAAACAGCACAGTCAGCTAATGGCCTCCTCAAAACTGACTGCAGGCACAAACACATCAATTAAAGGCAGGATAAAATGCGCTCAAGAGGATGAAACCGCCTACGCTATAATTACGCGTGGCATGCCTTAGCATTTTTGCTGCGTTATCTTTAGCGATACAACAAAGGGAAGCGGTCAGACCTATCGATCTGATGTAAGTGCTCCTTCATAGCAGCAAAAATACTGTTTGCATTAATTAATTACAGCTAAAACATGCGATTCAGCGTTAAATAAGTGAAAGAAATGCCACTTTTCACTTCCTATAAGATTTTATGTCCTGTCATAGGAACTGCCGAAAAGCTTTTGATGTAAGAGTTTTGCGTGGGAGGTTGTTCATTTCATTGACAGCACGCTAAACAAAGACTAGCAGAGTTGCAGCACCTGGAATTAAGGATCGAGTCTAATATTTCTGTTAAAAATAGAAACTCAGAGTAAAGCAATGATGTGATATGTCTAATCTATTATTGCTTCTATTGGTGGAAACAGTGCTGTGGGGATTTATCATTAAGACCTGGCTTCATTTGCAGTTTATTTACACTTTTCTATCTGTGCAAGATGATCAGTTTACTGACATTCCACTCTTATTTAGAAAGGTCAGTTGGTGCTCACCAGTCAGCTTGGTTCCTTCCCATTTAATAGTTTCATGTGTGGCAGTCTTAAAGAAAGCCCTCAATGCCGTTCTGCTGTCATTCAAGATGGTGGACTTCGACGGAGGATGGAGGAGAAAGCTGATTTTTATTTATTTTATTTATTGAATAAAGCATGGACGCATGTTTTTTTGCATGCACAACAATGCAAACAACGGTCCTCCACTGAGCACGAAGAGGTCAGAAGTCTTACTTAAAGATAGGGATCTAAAACTAAGAGGCTAAAGGGTCATGCCCGAAAATATGTCCCTAAATCGACGATATTTAAACAAGTTAAGGTGTTTGACTTTTAATAGTTTCTTCCTGAAAACTTTTGTTTATGCCACATATGAGAAGTCAGACTCATGGGCACAGAACATTAAGAAATAAAGCCTGCCTCTGATAATAAACCTGCTTTGTTGTCTTTGGTGCTGTCAAGGTAAATAACGGAGAGTTGAAGACTTGTTGAGGTCTGAACTCTAAGGAGTGCCTTCAAGTGAACTCATTCTATATTTGTGCTCCAGTTCATCTTCGCTGAGAGCCAATTTTGTACCCGCTGGTAATTATTGATATTGACAGCAGGAGCAATGAACCTGAATGTCAGTGGTGCAGGCAGAACCGCGGGGGCGGCCAGCGGTGGAAGTCTGACCGCAGACATGTGCGTGCCAGACAGTGAAAACGATGTGGCTTCTGGTGTGAGCAGTCTGGCTTTTCAAATTAATGTGCTAACACAAGCTGACGCGCTCCCGTCACCTGCTTTGCTTTTGCAGCAGGACAGCACCTGGAATTATCTCCGCACCAACATTTCCTCGTCTTGTCTGCGACTTTTTACATATATATTTATATATATAAACGCCCAAACTCTTATGGATGTTTCGGCACTTGGCCTCTGAGTAGACAGTGATAAAGCAGATGTAAAATGTCTGGGACACATGCTTTTTGAAACGGGGTTTTGGGTATGGCCCTTGCGGGGACGCAACAGCTTGGTTCATTCACTGGGAGTTTGCATTTACGAGCTCGTCCATCATCTCTGAATGAGCAAACATTATTTTACTCTGCTCTACTTACCGTCTGCAGGTGCACTGCCGGCTAAGCCAGACAGACACACATACACAGAGGAGCAATACTTTTGCTTTACCACCCCATCTCCTATATCTCATTCATTTAGATATTCTGCATAACATGTTGTTTTTTTGTCCTACTGCCCTATTTACATTCCTTTAGAGTAAAGAAAAAGTTTACTACACCATAGCTAAAGTTAGCTAAAGCTTGGCTCACTTTCCTCTCCCTGAAAAAGTGATCTGAGTAAGTAAGTGAGCACTGCCCTTAACATTATGGATGTGGCAGCAAGGGCAAGGCCCAACAAGAGATATGTGGATAAGGGAGAAGAAAGTGAGAGACATAAACCGTTTGGCTAAAACTCAACTAGTCTCTGGAGGAGCATAGCGAATGAAGTGTGAGAAGAGAAGGTGAAAGTTTAGGGAGCCAAATTACACCGGCTGCCCCGGCTCCCCTGCTCTAACTCCCGCTGTTCTTTTCGCCTCCACTGGAGAAAAAGAAAGCTTCTCCTTAATGAGGAGCAGAGCTCACGCAACTCCTGCTTTCAATCACACTGGCAATTATTTTTTCCTCCCCCAAGCCAGCTGGGCTACCAAAACATTCAGAGGAATGGAAAATGATTTTGCTTCGGCTCCCACTTTCACTTCCTCTGTCTCCACTTCCCCTTCTCCTTGCACGTCCTTCACTGATGTGGCAGGTGGAGCCTCCTCTCTGAGCTTTGAAAGGGAATGAGGATGAGCGCAAATGCACAGAGGAGCCGTGACCGACCGCCCGTGAAGGTCCCGGCATCTGCTCTTTGCGCTTCCATCCTCATTCGCGACACCGCTTTTGTGTGAAAGTGTAACAGGACCAGCCGGGGCAAAAGGGGCAGGGACTTAGAGCTTCTTATGCCTGCTGTTCTCCCTGTTAGGTTAAAAATGAACCCTGAAAATGCTGGGGGTTCATACAGAATAAAACTTTACAATTATTTCAACTTCAACTTCATTACTTTTACAGTTAATGTCCACCAGATCTGGCTGCATTAAGCTGCATCTTTGTCTTAGCTGAGCAGAGCACCAGTTGCCATTCAAATGGCTCCATTCATCCGTCTTTATGAGCTTTTTACCCCAAAATGTTATAATTTCATAATAATTTTAGTAATTTTTTTTAGCCTGTCTCAGTTTCTTCTATCTTATCATCATGTTATTGTTATTAATCTCTGGCTCTGATCCACAGTCTGTCTTTTGTCCTGTTTCATTGAGTCTGGTTCTATTGGAGGTTTCTTCCTGTTAAAAGGGAGTTTTTCATTCCCACTGTCGCCAAGTGTTCATAGCAGGGTCATCTGATTGTTGGGGTGTACTCTGAATTATTGCAGAGTCTTTATCTTACAATATAAAGAACCTTGAAGTGACTGTTGTTTTAATTTGGTGCTGTATAAAGAAAGATTTTAAAAATGAAAAAGAAAAATCATGTAATCTGAGACTGACTCCATTCTTTGAGATGACAGGTCTGTCTTGAGGGACTCCATGTCATTGTGTCTCTACTAATGAATAAGCTTTATTGCAATTGGAGGACAAGAATCTATTTATTTTATTGGAAAATGATTTAATATTGTCGATTACAATTATCATTATTATTAGTACCCTAGCTAATGGAGCTTAAATAGAAATAAATGTTCATTTAGTTGTTAGTTATAAAAGTCATATGTTTGCCATTCATCCCCAAGTCATCCCCATGCTGCTGCTGTACTGATAAAAATAATTAACGATAATATTTG